GAAAGAGTGATTTTTACATCACTGGTGCTGATCTCGACATGGCACTGCTAGATAAACATAGAAAATACAGAATCAGGGCAGAAAAAGGATAAAGGAAAAAATACCTGATAATCTATGTGGTAGTGAGTCATAGTTCTTTTTAAGGAAAGCTTCATTGAAGTTCTTTGGATTAGTTGCTCCAAAAAGCCGATTCATTTCTTGGTTTAACACTGTTCTAACTGCATCAGGCAGATCCTTACTTTCAGATACTGTTGAAATGGAAGACATGTTAACAGAGGTAAGCACAGGCAATCACAGTAAAAAATCACTTTATACATTTAATTTAGTATTTGTCATGTTTACATTAGTAATATGATAGGAAAAAACCTTCAAAACTCAGAGGAATATGCATACAGTTGAAAAAGGCAAATAACTGGACCTGGTTGGAAAAAGTTTAACTGTGACAGCTGATGCTTAGAAAAAGACAAGCCTTTTTACTACAATACACTCCTTGTTACTTATTAAAAGCTATTAGGCTCAAAGAAGGCTTAGAAGGCTGTTCTTGAATGTATCCAGCCTGTAGCCATCAACAGGAAAGGTGACCTTTGGGGCAAGGAAAGGAAAAGAATCTGTCCAGCCTTCTAACAAAAAGGCCAGAATTTTAAGCCTTCTTGACACAGGCTGCCAACAGAAAGCAGTTACCACACTGCAGTTACCATTTCTTCACTCGGTCTTTCAGGGATTCACTATATACTCACAGTCTTGAAAAGACTTTCTAGTATTTGTTGGAGCAACTACTAAATGCAGCTTCAGTCATAATAAACAGTTAATTCTAGCATTAATCAGTTTTCAGAAAAACTTTATGTGTATTGAATATTTTGAATTAATTGTGCTAGCAGTCTACAAACTAAAAATCAGTGACTTCATGTAGGTTAGGCATCATGTAGAAGCATGTACAGATGAAGTCAGATACATACCACTGCTGAAGAGATGAATCATACACTCATGAAGCCAAGGATGACTAGAATCAATAGCAAAGGCTCTCTTCACAGATTGAAGCATCAGAAGGAACTTCTCTGGACAATAAAGCATTGGCAAATGGTCAAAAACTTATGGCTGAAACTCACTGCATTTCTTTGCAGGAGTATTTAGTGTTTGAAATTAGAATTATCAGAAGTTAAAGTCAAGTGTAGTGTAACAGCCATTTTTTCTAACATGTTTATTTAAACCAGCAGATTAAGCCTGTTAAACTAGCAAGTAAATTTGAACATAGTAAGTTCTTAAAGGATAATATTTAACTGATACAAGAATTAAAAGTCAAGTGTTTCAAAATTCTCACTTGCAACTGTACACAACTTCTTTTCAGTGTGTAGTTCTGCAAACTATACATACAAACAAGTAATTAGGGCAAATGCAAGCTGTGAGAATTAGCAACTGTCTCATTGCTTATAGATTAAAACACAGCAAAGAAAGTGGATAATCATCAAATGTTCAAACTTTCATTTCTCACAGACTTCTCATGCCTGGGGTGTCAGCCCAATGAAAAGTTGTGTGTGTCTTTGACAGGGACTGACTCCCCAGATCTCATAAATAATTTTTACTTCAATTCTAATATGCACCTTTATGAGCCACAAATTGCTTGTTTTCCTGAGTTTTCTTACCTACCTTTTCGAAAATAAATCTCAAAGGCAAAAAGATGCGTCTCTATCTTGTTCTTCACTAAATTTTTCAGGGGTGTTAAAAATTTAATGGCTTCTTCCAAAGGTGCTTCAACCTACCGATTCAAGGAAGAGACACACAATTAAGTCACAAAGTTTAAACCTATGAACTCTACAACAGAATTAGCTACTTCTGAGTCACATTAGTTACTCTCATCAGGCAATGCCTAAGATGCTTAAATCCTCTTGTTGCAAATTTTGCATCTGTCACTCAGTACTGCTGCCTAAACACAGACTGTCGAATCTAAAAACCTGCTTTACAATGGTTACCAATCACATTTTCTACATATGTGGCCCAAGATCTTGGCAAATAACTGCTTTATGCCTATGGCAGAGTCTGTTCATGTGAGCTTCAGACATGTTCCTGAAAGCTGCCAGGGCACAGTGACATTCCCAGCCAAGACACTAACAGCAAGCTCGAAATTGTAACTAGAAATTGTCCATGGTCTCCAAGGCTTAACTAGCATAACCCAGTGAATGGACAGCTTTAACACAAATTAATTCTGTGCAAGGGTTCTTTACAGACAGATCTCTTGCATTTAGAAATGATGGCTAATTTGACCAAGAACTGTCTGTTGTCCTTCAGATTTACATTTTTACGAACATAAGCTACTTTCTAAGAATCAGATAAATCATTTAATTGTTGTCTCTTGATAACAACTTAGTAACATTGAAGCAATACACTTCATGGCAAATGACTGAGTTGAAGATAACGATGGACACCGTATGGAGTTCCTGCTAACCATATACTACAGTACTTTTAATTAAAATATGCACCACTTATGTGCTGTTATGAGTTTGCATACATGATTCACAACTGTGCGCTTAAACTATTTGGAATCTATAATAAAACAGAGTTCAAAGATGAACTTTGGCTTTAATGCCAAAGCTACATATCCTCCAGAGACATACAGAGAAAAATGTTTCAGGAAAACTGCAAATGAACTATGTCTGAAATGGTCTTCTGACACTGGGAAGTGTCTGTACCACATTTCTGACATTAAATTTGTAATATAATTAGGGAGGATTTGCCAGAGGAATGCATTATACAACTGCAACTATTCCCTATAATCGTGGGGACTGCCTAGATTTTCCTGAGGTATCCCATGACTTCATCCCTCTGCCTTGCAACCATTTCAATCTTAACTAGCATGGCAATTAGAGTGCTGCTTCTTGCAACCAGTGACCTAAACAATGGGAATACCAACAATATTACTAAATGACTGGTCAAGTTTTTAAAGTCACTTTACTTTCTCAGCTTTCAACAGCTTCTTGATTCTTCCGCACTCCCCATTCAAATGCAAACAAATGCTGTTAAAGCATACAGTTTTTCAATGTCTCCTCTTTCACATGTTGTTTATGCTTAATAAATAAAAAAATGATTATGGGACATAAAGAGTGAATGATAATCACCTTGCATACAGAATACAAAGACTTCCATCCAATCAACTAGAAATAGGGTATAATCAACAAATTAGTGCAATACACACATGAAGATTAACTCCACCTGTAACAAATGTCTATGGCTTCAATCACTGCCTTTGATAACTAGCCACATAAGCTGTGATTTCATCTCATTACTGACACCATATCCAACAAACTACCCCTAGAAAATATTTATTTTTAAGATGCCACCTGTGAAGAGAAGCCATACAAAAAACAGTTTACGTGAATGGCTTTCAGACCATGTTGTGTGCTCACTGTAACTTTCCTAGTAATGTCTACAACTTCATTATTACATTAGTAAGCACCTTTGCCAACTTCTCAGGGATAAGTTCTTCTTTCGGTCCTCCAATTTCTTCATCATCATCATCTTTTTTCTTTTTCTGATTCCTTTGCTGCTTTTCTTTCTCAGCATTCTTCTTCTCCTCCTCCAGCTGTGCTTTCTTCTGCGCTCTTCTCTGCTTATTTCGTAGCTTCTTTAGCTCCTTGTCAGACATATTTGCTGTACACATGCAAAGGGCAATATTAGACACGAACACTCTCTGGTTTTAACAGTCTCAATCAGTTGTCAGATAATACAATGTTTCCTAAACCATATCCATTAACTAAGAATGCTGCCGTTGCATAGAAGTTTATTTACTATCAACAAATTATTTTACAGCCTATGCAGCTGCTTCATAAATCACAAATTCCTTCATGAAATCAGGGCAATAGGAATTAGTGTAACATGCTGAAGGTGGGACAAAGTAATTACTGCATGACTCCACAAGTCCAGTGCCAGGAGTAAAAGCGTACACCAATATACAGGGATTTATTTCTTAGGCATTACACAACAATTTATGTTTAATGTAGTAATTAGCTGGTTTAACAAAAAATAAGGTGAAATAGCTGCACTTTGGCAATGACAGTTCCAGCTTTGCTCTTCATACCCTACAAACACCTTATGCTTGATTCATACTCAGTCCTCTACTCCCTTCAATTAAAGCATGGAAAATTAATTTAAAACACATCAGAAAGTGGCCACAAGAAAATCTATTACACTTTTGCTTGTCTTAATTTGAATCTGAAGCCACACAAGTGAACTGACATAAGAAATACTAAAACTTGAGAAAGTCCTCTTGAGGATTTCAATAACCTCTATTCATACCATTTTAGGTGCCCCAAGCCATAATCACTTCAGTTGCTCTCCAGTCAGAGATGAGGGGGGAAAAAAAGTAAAAACCTGATGGATTTAAGTATTATTTTTACACCAGAAGCAAGAGATGATAAATTTTAAGTTGCTACCTATTAAAATTTTTCCATACTGATATAATGCTTAGAAAGAGCTACCACCAAGCATACCTGCTTCAATCTGTGAGAATTTCATACTTCCTCATCCATTTCATAACACAAACATGTTTTAATTTAAGAATTACAATTATCACTACAAAAAACATCACAGTTTTACAATTACCAAAATGTAAGCACGTATTAGTTGAGCTTTCAATAGAACATCTACTTTTACACCCAGGCCAAGTTAAAATTTGCCTCCCTTGAGCTGCAACAAAACTCTTCATTTTGGCTACTACAGTTCACAACTGTATGAATGCTGGATCTCCAGAACATATACATCAATTAGTGAAACTGCATATTTAATAAATCCTGAGGGTTGAATACCTGTATCAGTCTCATGTTCTTTATTTTCATCTGTTAAGGGATTATCATGAAGTTTCAAATATATCTCTATGGCAATTCGTGCTGCTTTGAAGTAGAACGGATGTTGTCGAAGCACATCTTCTAGTTTTAACAAGTCCACATAAGACCTAAGGGTAATCTTCCTCATACAGTAAGTGTGAAAGTCAAACTGGTCATCCGTGATTTCTACAAAATGCTAACAACATAACAGAACATTATTTAGCAAGTAGTAACAATCAGATACTAACTTTGACCTTTTTAATACAGTCATCCCAAAGGAATCATTTAGTAAATGCCTGCTGTTTGACAAATACACACTAATTTTCAAAAAAATGACTTAACAAGACCCTCTAAAAATAAAAGTATGGTGAACAGAAAGTATCTTAGGCCAGAAGCAAAATTCAACCATTCCACAATATCTTAACAGTAACTACTGTCTGACCACTTGCAGTTTAAGGGACATAAGTGCTACATTTGTTGTATTAAAACAGCAGTTGAATTTTTCTTCAATTAACTTCTCCAATTTTTCCAGTCTACAGTATAGTTTTGACTTCCAATAAACACTGTGGCAGTGAATTCCACACTTAAATCACACATGGTGTGAGAAAATACTTTTATTCAAGATCTGTTCTCCTCACTGTCACTTGATGTCCCCTTCTTTTGTTTGAGAAGCAGTGAAAAGTCATTCCCCTCTTCAACCTCTCCATGTACTCATGATCTCATACAATTTCACCCTAAGCTCAGCTGTTGCTTGTCAAAGCTGAGGATAAAACAGTAAGCATGACAAGCCAATTGCAATGTCTTCATGTCGAAGTTATTCCATGGCATGTATTTTACTAACATTTTTAAGGAGGTGTGATATTCAGATGTAAATAGTACAACAGATTTACATAACAAAAGAATACTGCTACTTCTCCAGTCACCTAAATTCCCAACACTGTACTTCTGACTGCTGCTCCACACCAACACTGAAGTTTCTGCAGCACTGTCTATAGTGAATGACTCCAGGATTTCTTTCTGGAGCAGCAATAACTCATATTGCTTACAGAATCCATCACCTAGGTTGGAAAATACCTTTAAGATCATCAGGTCCAACCATAAACACAGCACTGCCAAGTCCAGCACTGAACCATGTCCCCAAGCACCACATCTACAGGTCTTTGAAACACCTCCAGGGATGTCGGCCTGACAACCGTTTCAGTGAAGAAATTTTTCCTAGTATCCAATCTAAACCTCCCCTGGCACAACCTGAGGCCATTTCCCCTTGTCCTAATTGCTTCTTACTTGGGAGAAGACACCAAACCTCACCTGGTTACACCCTTCTGTCAGGTAGCTCTAGAGAGCCATCAGGTCTCCTCTCAGCCTCCTTTTCTCCAGACTAGACAACCCCAGTTCTCTCTTACACTAATTCTTATCAAAGGATTTTACACAAGCATAGTGAAAGGATTTATGTTAACAGAATATGGTCCTGGTGAATCACTCTGTGTGGTTTTTTCTGAGAATATTCCACAGAACAGGCACCTCTGCAGAAAAGCACCAGTGTTGAAAACTCAATCTGCACTATTCGCAAAGAGGTGGAGCTTCTTACTAAGTTCTCCTCTTTGAACACTTCATTTACACCTTCAGATGTCTGGTTTTTTCTCTAGACCCTAATGTACTTAAAAAAAGGAAGCAAAGCTGTATTTAATTTTTTTTTAGAAATTGTTCATCTAAATTATTTTTGGTTGCTTTACTATGGTTCTCCATTAGTGTGCAAGTTTGCCCTCTTTCTGGATACAATTTCTACTTTAAGATGCCTTGATAACTTCTTTTAAATTGTAGCTTAATTTTTTTAGGGATTACATATTTAATATTTTTGACAGTTTTTTACATTTATTCTCCTCCCCTAAAATACAGTGGGTTAACAATAACCAAGACAACATCTTTCCTTTACTTTAAGGCTGGGTTTGTCAGCTAAGCCACGATCTTTTTTTCTTAAAAGTGCATGTACTCCTGGTTTGTATCCAAATACCTATTTGTACCCTGCCAAAGAACAAGATTATTTGTCCAAGTTTTCCATTCTTTCTTGGATCCTCAAATGACTCTACAGAATCTAAAATACACAATTTACAACGGCATTTTTAGGAGAAAATACAATTTCATCGACTCGTCAGCAGTCACTATGCAACAAAATCTCTTCTGAAGCTCCATGAAGTTATATTCTTGCTGCTCAGAAAGGAAACATATTAGCACAGTAAACTCAAGCTGCTGTTTAACTAGATACGTACTCTCTCAATTTCATGGCATTTCTTAAGTGCTTCTCCAAATTTGTTCATTGCTTTGTAAGCTTGTGCACATTCTGTCTGAAACCACATGCACTGCATTTCATTCAAGTTCTCTACTGCTGAGGTGCCTTCCTAAAAGCAAAAACAGCATTATAAGAAAAAATAAGTCTCATTCAATTTGTTAACTGCCATTTCTTTATCTCATTCTAATTAAAAACACAGAGAGGCTATAAAAAGAATGCTAAATTTCAAAACAGGAGACCTGAAAGTCAGAAATGCCACAGTTAAAACGGACATTAATTTAAAAAAGTTAAAATTCCTCTATGTTCCACTTACTGGAAGAGTCAGAAATACACAATGAATAGCCAGGTATTGAACACTTAACTGTAGCAGTTCCTTATCTCTAGGGTAGGAGAGACTTTCAGTGTTTTTAATGTTACGTGCACACATGACACATTGCAGCATGCAGAAAACTGGTAGAAAAGTTCTAGCATCTGCAATGACACTGATACTTGCTTTATTTATTTATTTGTTTTTAATGAAAATCAACATCTGTGTCTTCCAGAGACCTGCTGATTGAGCAGTAACAGGTTACTACTGGATACCAGAGAGCAGTGGCAAAGCAAAAAGGAAGACTACTAGCTTTGACACCTTCCGATTCAAAAAAAGGATGTTACAGTTGTCTTTCAAACCTGATATTTATATATACTTGCACAGATCTGTAGAACTTAAAATATGCCTTTCAAGCTTAATGTCAAAGTCAGCTACTTGGGGTGGATGCCGCCATTCTGACTTTACTCTGATCTTGCAAGATCAGGTGATTCAGTAATCAGCAAAGAACCAAACCTGGAAAAATTACAGATAATATTCTAATGAAACTGTAAGAATGCCCCAAGTGAGAGAGAAAGGCAGTCTTCAAACCAGTCTGATTTAGGCAGCTTAAAACCAGAAAAATTGTTAGTTCCATTTCCATTATGCTTAACTGAGGTCTTCTTTAATTATTGTTTTTTAATTAAGAAGTTGGCATTTGAGCACTAGACTTCAGATCAAAATGAGATTACTGGCCTTAAGGGATGAAAGCCTGTCCACAAAAGGAAGATAGCTCAAAAAGACTCTCACCTATTAGCCACACAGAAATTTAATGACAAGAGAAGTATGAAGTTTTTAACTTATTACAACGAGGGGAAAGAAGGAAAAAAAAAAAAAAAAAAAAAAAAGGACATGAACTACTTCATCAGATCTTTCAAGAATCCTATAAAATCAACACTAGATCCACAGACTTCTCAGAAATGTATTTTTTCAAAGCCGTTCTCTGAAAAAGGCATACTGCATTTTTCCTACCTGGCAAAAATTATCAAATCCAAGCTTTTGAGTTTTAAACTAATATGATGAAATCATAGTTAACACAAAAAGTTATTCCACAAGGGAGCAGCTCCACATTATTCAAAAAAGCTATAGTTAAATGCAACAAACCCTTGTAAACTTAGAACACATTTCTTCTGCTTCTTTAATGGAGTTTGCTTTCAACATATATTTTGCACATTTGGAGTTGATAAATCTGTCTGCTGTGTCCAAAGCCTGAGCCTCATCCATCCACCTTGCAGCTTCTTTAATATTTCCAGCATGCTTGAAGAGAGAAATTAAAGTTAGAACCAGTAATTATAAGCCACACATGCATTACCTGCTCACAATGTAATTAGTTTGGGATTTTTTTTAGACACTTTTTAATAAATAGCTTTCTTCAGGAAAGCAACACACCTTAAAGGAGAAAAGCTGAAAAATTACTCTCCTCCAACATGGAATTACAGCTAGCAGACGTTTCTCCCAAAAATGCTTAAATGACATTTTAGGTAACCCCATTCTGATACAGTATCACAGTGTAGCAGTTGGGAAATTGTTTGTACCTAGTTATGAGAAGTGGAGGGCAAGATAAGAACATATAGAAGACATTTAAAACATCAACTAAATTTATTTGTGTGATTTTTAATATGAAAAATATAACTGTAAATTGAAAATTCATGTTTTGCGGTATACTTGTCCTTTATAGACCTACACATCTTCGTGGGGCTTATTCATAAGCTCTAAAAAAATGCAAGCAGCCAAACAATAAGCTTATCTAGAGTAATTCACCATGGCTTAACTATGTCTCTTGTTTAATACTAGCTTAATACTTCAATGTTCACATCAAAAACATAATAGAGATATATAGACATATATACAAGTAAGTCTTCCATCATATCAAACAAATAACCACTGGTCACTATGAAGCCAAACTTACCTTAAAGATTTTTGCCTTCACGAGGAAGAGTTCTATCAGAGTGGGAGTACTTTCTATAGCAGCATTTATATATTCTAGAGCCAGGGATGGCTGTCCAATTTTATCATAATGTTGAGCTAAATAGTATTGGACCCAGAGTAAAGTGGTTGGAGGTTCTTCTTTACCGTCATCTGGAGGGAAAAGTGGAGGAGCTGTTTTGTTCAGTTTAGTAAAACAACATGCCAGAAGCAGAGTGCTGTAAATACAGCCACTTTAAGTTAATTCTGACTCTATCAAGCTGTTACAACAGACCTGGGAGTGTTTTCAAACACATGGGTCCAGCTAAGTTAATGAACTTTTAAACCTATGTTTTGAGAAGACCTGGGCATATACTGTTCCCTTTTCAGATTGTGGTTTTAAGGGAAAGGAAAAGTGAGTTAGTGTGTGAGAAGAGAATTGTATTTTGTTCCAACTAGTCCCCTTAATGCAGCTTAGTGCATGATGCAAAGTTCTTATTTAAAACTGTTTTAGATGAAGGGTATAGCAAAGTGTCCTGCTAAACACAACTGTTGCACAGTTACAATGTAAAGCATTTCAGTACCTTCAGCATTTACATGCTTTCAACCCACAGACTTTAATATTTTTAAACAAAATAGGCTGGCTGTCCAAACTCAAGGCTATAAAGAAATTTCATTTCTTCCTTTGACAAATTTCTTTTCACTGTTTGCATAGATATATCCTAGAAACCATTATTTTATACACAAGTCAGTTTTGAAAGTTAGAGAGCTTTGTTTGAAATCCAAAATACTACCAAGTCTGGAAAGCTCATTTCACTACTTAGTCCTGACTAAGAAGCACAGCACTTTGCAGGGACAGGAAGGAAAGGGTATGGGAGCTCTACTCCTGCTAAAATAAAAGGTTCTGGTTCTTCAGTTTACGGTGTAACTTAAACAATTATATGCATTTGTTCATTTTAAGGTAGCAGAAAATGGTTTATTTGAATAAAATTTAGGATCAAATACTGAATGGATCTGAAGTAACAATAACACACTTCCCTAAACCAGAAAAGCAAAAATGCATTTGAAAGGTTTGGACAAATTCAAACAGGTATTGAGTGTCTATATGGTAGCAGATAGCATTAAATTCATCAGGAAAGTGTAACAGGCAACTTAGATGAGAAATTCGTAATGAAGTGTTGCATTAATGTTTCAGCAAAACAGGGAAGTAATTAGTTATAACTTCAATAAATATGTCTTTGTTAATTAGGATTATCCTGTGAAGTTTTTAAGTATATTGTCATTCATGCTATCTTGCTTATAATATATTATAATCCACCTATCAACATTTCTAGGCTATCCTCTGTTGATATTCCAAGCAGAAAAGCTTTTTCTTTTAGATTTTCTGTTACAAAGCATTTGGGCAAGTGACTAAACAAACATCACGGAGAAGAAATTACAGAGGCTGGATTCAACACACGTAGAACCAGACCTTACAGTGCAACAGTTACCAGTCAAAACCTGGAAAAAAAAAAGTTAACTCTCAAAGAAAACCCCCAGGAACAAAAAACCCAGCCCCCACCAAAAGCGCCAAACCCACTCCCCAAGGAGACTGTGCTACCAGTATCTATTCCTTTGTTTGACACTTCTGCAATTAAAAGATTAAACACAGCTTTCAAATTTCAGCTTCCTGAACAAATATAAACTCAAGCCTTGAAAACGGAATACTTCAACTCAAAACCACAAGGAGATGATTCAATACACAGATCCAGCAACATTTTTAGAACAAGTGACTAGATTTTGAGCCCAGACTTTATCTCTGACAGCTTAAATCCATCCTGAGGATGACTATGGTTCAGTTCTGCATGGCAGGGGAAAGGAAAGAAACCCATCATCTCAATGTCTTCACTCCCAACTGGTTCCCTGCTTCTGAATGGTCACACGTGTACACCAGGCTCTCTTCCATGAAGTATGCCAGTCTTAGCACTCACCATTTGGGTTAAACAACCTGCAGCTTCTTAGAGAGGTTTCATAACCTATCACGAGCTCTTCTATGATTGCCACCTACACACACAAGACAAGACAAAAAAAAATATATATCTGTGGGCAAGATGGTATTTTATTTCAACTTGACTAGTTTGGGTAGCACTGAGCGGTTCATTTTTGGTAAGAGAATTAAAATACAGATGGGAATACAACCAATCTCACCTCTTTTTTTAACAAATTAAGACCAAACCTCCCTTGGTTAGTACTTACGAAGTTTATAACCAAGTAAATCTTAGTTTTCTACACACTTCAACTTGGCACAAGGCTGCCTATGCTAGTACTTGATTTCCCCCAAATATGTACTAGGCCACAATATACAACAGTGCTGAGAGAACTGAAGAAAACTAAGTTTCTTCATCTCTTTAATGCATCACAGATACAGGGTAGATAATGTCAAAGTGGAGGAAAAACCTACCTTCTCCTTGTCTTTATATAATGACCTCAAAGTATTGAAGACCGGTGGGCAACCTTTGCTGAAATTCATCCTTAGAAACTTGTCCAGACATTCCTTAAATTTTTCACCTTGAGAGGAAAAAGGCCTGTTGATTTTGTTTTACCATACATTACTTGTCAATTGCAAATGGTTTATGCTGTTAAAACATTAGTATCTAAGAATCATGAGTGTTGATTACTACCTGGTCAGCAAAAAAGCACTTACCCGACAAAAAGTTTAATGGTAATCTTCTTGGAACTAGTCCCCTTGGGTATTTAGCCCAGGCTTCTTCATAGATCTTTAGCCTCTCCATCATATTAGCTGGAACAGAATTTTACAGTTTACTTTTCCCTTCCTTTTTGGCAAGAAAGAAAGAGCTGGCGGAGAGTGATTTATATCTAGCAACTCATGGCTATATACTTCTTAAAGTACACTGATTTCCATTTTCTTCTTTTTAAAACAGCTGTACTAAATGATTTAAGGAATTCAGCATCTGTAAATTCCTCTTTCATCAGTAGAAGATTAACTGTTTATCTCTCATCTTAAAGAGTTCCCATCTTATTATTGCTGTGCTAAAAATCTTGAACAAAGAAAACCACTCAGGAGAATCATGCCTGCTTATCCAAAACATGTATTACCTACAATATAAGATAATGGAGACAACAGAAGAAAAATTCTAAATCTAATAAATAATTATCTTCTTTCAACCACACAAAAAGATTGCTCTGTTTTTTGTTGTTTTGGTTTTAAATAAGACACAGAAACAACAATAAAAAGAAATACTTCCAGCCTTTCTTAAAAAAACAAAACACAAAACATCATGAAAATATCTACACACTATAACTGAAAAGCAAAACCTGAATGGGGACTTCTAAAATAGAAGTTTTGCTATCATAAGCAATACAAGTTTTCAATAAATATAAAAATTCCAAATATGCAGGAACAGCTTATTTACTACAACATATCAAATTATTACCTGGTTTAAGTGCCTTTTCTAGGCCTTTGTAGTAAGCCCAGTTTTCAGGATTTCTTTCTTGCAGCCCTTTGTAGACTTCAACTGCTTCTTCAAGTCTGCCAAGCTGAAGCAGGAGTTCTCCTGTGAGAAACCCAAGCAGTTTTAAATTAAGGTAACAAGATACTAAAGCAGTGCAACATTAATCACTCCACAGTAGATTAGATAATCCTTAACTTCATGAGGATTCTAATTTCTTAGAAGAAATCATAATAGTGACACCATAAACTGGCTGACAGATAAGCTATTACTTTGGTAACAGTTGCAATTACAGTTAAGATTCTACAACTCAGTCAGTAACTCTTGAAACTGACTTGAAAATTTAATCTTAATATCAAGGCGCACTGTTACTCTCACTTACTGAAGTAACTGGTTACTTTATGCACAGTTTTTACTATAGAAGGCAATTAAAAGCTGTCCATGGTACTTCTCATATATATATCACCTTAAATATCAAATTGAAATTGTGAAGCTGCAAATAAGACAGGTTCTTCAGTCTATAATTTCACAAAGCTCACTTCAATGTTTTAAATCAAGCCATTGATCTCATGAATGAATTCTCAACATTCTGCAAGCAAGCTTTCTTTCAATGATACTTCATTACAAGACAACTGTTAAAAGCAAAGTCTAGATCTAGTAACTGTAAAGAGTATCTTTGCTGATGCTGGAGTTGGAACAAAAGTCAATTTCCCATTTCACAATAAGAAACCATGTTTTACGAAGCTTTGCTACTGGCAAATGTTAGACACTAAAAGATTACACACCAGAGGTGATTCAGCATCACTCTAGATTAAGGTAAGGTTTTCTCATCTGGTTTCAAGATAAAAACCCGAGTCAGCATTACCTCTCTCCTTCCCTATGTCATGCAACTGACACAATTTTGTAATGAGATGCTGCTTCCCACAGATAGTGTAACTTAAGGACAGGGAAAAGATCAATAATTTATTCACTGAGAATGACAGAGTCTGGAAAATAAATCTAAATATCTTCTCTGAGGTGAAAGTTACTATTTTTATCTAATCGTGGCAAATACCAATACTATTTTCACTGTTTCTCAGTTGTACTTCACCCATAATGGCTTTTGCACATGCACTTAAAATTCATAGACAACACTTATTTATTAGCAGCCTCTTCTGTAGTCACCACAGCATCTAAGCTAGACCTACCAACACAATAGTAGCTGTGCTGAAAAATAATTGTCAGTTGTAGCCTGTTGAAAGCACACAGACTACAAGGAGTATTTCTGTCCTTTTTTCTGTCACTGGATAGAAGTTTTTATGTTTTGTTTCGATTTGTTGTTGTTTGATGGGCTTTTTTGCTGATTTTTTGTTTGGCTTTTTGTCTTTTTGTGAAGTCCTGTTTGAAAATCCTATTTCAGTACCAGCCTCTGACCTACATCAGAAACTTAAGAACACATAGTACGTCAAGAGACCTCTCAGATAATTAAAAAAACAAACAAACAAATAAACCCAAAACATTTCCAACACCAAAACCAGAACTCTTACTAATATGTCTGAAAAAATGGCCTGTGATAGTGCAACCTCTACACCTGTTTTCATTTATATGCAAACAAAGTAACATATTCAGCAACAGTACAGAGTCATCTGCAATCATTTTCCTTGAGGAAATACCACACACCTTCCATAACACTGTCACTACTCAATTCCTAGGTTCTTTTTGCAAGACAGTGAGATTGCTGTTAGCAGGAATAGAGGGCTAGCTATAACGTACACATGAATAATATTACAGAGTAAATGAAGATTCTTCTCTTTGCTTCAAGCGATTATGCAAAGAGATTCCTGTGTGGGCTCTGAACAAGCACTACCTTGGGATAGACTGGAACTTTCACAGGACTGCACAAGCACCAAGCAGAAGAGGAACAAAACATGCTTTGAAAAGTGCACCTGTTAACAGAGCTGTAAGAATGAACTTGCATCACTTTGCAATTCCAGCTATGGAATATAAGTTAAAGTATTATATTGCTCTGTTACAGTATTGTACACTAGAATTACAGTAATAGAATAACAGAAGCCTATCTTGGGCTGTCCAGCTAAGGAGCCTGTTTCCATACATTGCAAGAGTGACCAAATACAATTAAAAGCCTTCTACTTTGACTCTGCCCTTTCAGCAAGCAGTCTCCCTGTCATATCCACTATCAAAGCTATAACAACATGAGTCTGGGTACACCACTTAAAACAGAATTTCAGAACATCAATTCAGGATTAGCTGTCTGAAACTCTCATCAGCTCAAAGTTTCAGAACAGTATATCTCTACTCTGCTTGATGTCTTATCAACCTGGGAGAAAAGTATGGTAAGTACCCAACCAGCTGCAAGACAAGCAGTCCTCTACCACAGCAGAATTAAGTTAACCTGAAAACAAATGGTAGAAATTGCACAATGGTTTGAATTGGAAGAGAACCTTAAAGATCATCTAGTTCCAACCCTCCTAGGATGGGCGGGGACCAGGTTGCTCCAAGCCCCATCCACCCTGGCTTTGAACACTTCCAGGATTGGGGCATCCACAACTCTTCTGGGCAACCTGTGCCAGTGTCTCACCACCCTCACACTAAAGAATCTCCTACTAATATCTAATCTAAATCTACTGTCGTCCAGTTTAAGTCCCCTTGTCCTATCCTCACATGCCCACATAAAAAGCCCCTCCCCAGCTTTTCTGTAGCCCCTTTAGGTACTGGAAGGCCACTATGAGGTCTCCCTGGAGCCTTCTCTTCTCCAAGCTGAACAACCCCAAATCCCTCAGCCTGTCTTCATAGGAGAGGTGCGCTCCAGCCCTCTGATCATCTTCGTGGCCCTCCTCTGGACTAGCTCTAGGAGCTCCATGTCCCTCCTCTGTTGGGGGCTCCAGAACTGGACACAGTACACCAGGTGGGATCTACTAACAGCAAAGTTGAGGGGAAGAATCACCTCATTCAACCTGCTGGCCAGGATCAAAGGTTAAGTTCCGAATGACGGGAAAAGCTGAGAGTACAGGCACTGCATTGCATACTATGCACTCAAATGTACCTTCCAAAAGGAATTACCTTTCGTTTCTTCAACAGCCAGTTTATCACAGATCTGCTTTTCATAGGTACAAAGATGCTCCAAGGCTTCTTTATATAGCCCTGCCTCCCGGAGGACTTGATTTTGATACAGCAGCAATTCGCTGTACTCATAGTCCACTTTATCAGGTGATGTCTACATAAGAAAGCAAGACACATGAGAAAGCTGAGCCTTCTAGAATGCATTTGGGATTTAATTAATTTGATTAAAGAAAACTGCATAAAGTTGTACACGTCATGAAATGAATCAGTGTTGGGTTTTTTTGCTTAAGCAGCAATCCATACAGAAATTCCATGTTTTGCTCTTACCTGCTGTGTCTTCCTAAATTCCTCTAAAATTTTAGCTGCCATTTCATAGTCTTCCAGCAGATGGTAAGCAATAGCATAACCAATCCACGATGCTCGCTGTGCAGGTCGGAGCTGAAGCAACTGGTATCTTGTTTCCTGCAAAAAAGTAGCTACTAATTTACCTGACTTTATTCTGATGCTCTGTAGAATCTATTATATAATACTGTCTCTTCAGTATTCTAGTATTTAAAGAATGTCCCTAAAAATTATTTTTCTACATGCAAACATATTTATTAATTAAAAAAACAAACAACAACTTTAAAACACTGTGATGAGTCTTGACTGAATGAAAAAAACCCATACAGAAAACAATGCGTCATGTCCAACTAAATACTGATGAGTCAGGCTAACTTCATTAATGCATGACACACATGCCTTTCCTGTCTTACCACTTAAGAACAGAATGCAATTAAGGCTACTTCAGTCCAAGTCGCAGGAACATTTACTATATACTTGTGTTTCAAATTCACCTTGGAAGTACAAATGTATTAAATCATTACAAGTGTTGTTAGGCAAAAGAGATCATGCAAGAACATCCCTATTCTTCGGCAAGAAGGAAATTACAGCTGTAAGACACAACAGATGTGCTTGGTATCATGCTGTTCTAATCTGAAGGAAAATGTTACAGATTCCTAAAAGTAATATAAAATAAGGAAAAAAAGTTACTACCTACTAAAAATGCCCAGTCAGATGTAAAACTAGTTACAGCAGTTTTATTAGAATGAAGATCACACAAAATATCATAAATTAGGAGAGTTAAAGCTAAGAAAAAAAAATTTCATAACCTATTTGCAGTTTTGAGAGTAAATTCACATTCTTTAGAAACCAGCATATGATCAGTCATGAATTACTGGCTTCTAAGCATGTTAACAGTTAACCCTTAATGCATTCCACAACCACAATCTTACATCTTAAGGAAACAAAAGGAAATATTGGAATCCAAAGGAGCTGATATTAATGCCTAGGTTGGCTGGAAAGCAAAATACCATGTTTCACATGTTTCATGTATCATACTGCTTGCTTTGTATTGTTACCCACTGCCAAGACAAAACTAGTGGCCACTGATCTAAAGGAAAGGGGGATATAGGGGGAGAAAGTTATTAAAAAACTGGAAATTCCTTTTCCTGGGCAACAGTCATCTTCCAATCACACTACCTTTTACTTGCAGGAATCCTTTCAAGGAAATAATAAAAAGACTAGGGATTGTCTACAGTTAGAATATGCAGCATTAAAAGACCAAACAATTCTGCATTGTGCTGAAAAACAGTAATTTAATATGCCATGAAATCTGTAAGCTATAGAAATTGCTCAGTAGCATGTCTGCTTTCACTTTTCTCAAGTATTGAGCAGCAGTTTTAAAACTGTAGATCTGTATACTTTTTTAAAATGTCATTAAACAATTTGCCATTTTTTCTGCAGTTCCTTAGAAGTTTATAATAAACGCAGTATGTACACTTACCCTGTAACCTTCAAGATCCCTCATTTGAATCTGTAGCAGAGAAAGATCTCTCAAGATTTGAAGATTGTCTTTGTCCCATTTCAGTGCATTTCTATAGCATTTGATAGCTTCATCATACTTCTTGTCTGACCTCTGAAGAAGGCCATAGACATGCCAACCTGGATAACTGTTAAGGATTCTACTGAATTTGAGCAGAGAGAAAAGAGATCCAGCACCGTGTTGAGAAGAGTTTGCAAAAAGCTCTTATGCCATGTTATACATGGTAACATTATTACCATCATTACAATTCTTCTTCTCAGCTGTCCAAAGAATCAGCTTGTAAACTGAAGACAGAGAACTGTTTGCCAGTTATACGTACAGGATGCATATAATATGCTGTAACCTGTGCCCCTCACACACTGGGGGAGGAAATCAAGTAATAGGATCAATGAAAAGACTATCAGGCTTATTCAAACATATTTTTGAGTAGGGGCTTATATCAGAAAACTGAAGTGCTTGCACTTCCTGCATTCTAAGTATATGACAAGCCCAAATAAATGTAATGGTAGCTACTGTATTTAAAGTAAATCACACACTTCCAACACTTACCACAAGTCTACAGTTGCAGAAAATTATTAAAAATACATATATACAATGTAACCCAGAACAATATTTCCTCTAACTGTGACTGCAAGGATGGCCACAAAGCATCTGCTTAGGTAAAATGTTCTTAGGTATCAGAAACAAAATTTTAAATTCTGATCTTCCAGTTTGAAGTCTCATAGCACTGGCTTTTGCTGCAATTTTAGAAATCAAATAGTTACAGAAATAAACCTTTTCCATTCATAAGTGAAAACACTATTTCAAAAAGGATACAGACATGGCTCTTCAAGTCATTCCTTAGGCCTCTACGCACAAGTTCATAAGCTTCCTCTTTCTTTCCTAAACAGTTTAATGTCAGTCCTTTCATTGCCAAGGTTTCTTAAAAAAAAAAAAAAAAAGTATCAGTTATTTGCTTTCATAGTTTTTAATGCTTAACATAGAACTCTAAATACAGTATAAATGCAAATTCAGACTCAGCAGCATCTAGATTTTGCATTCCTTTTTCATATGGAAAAAGAATCTGGCATAGTATTCACTTAAGTATATCCCATACAACAATAAACTTTAGGCATTACTTCCACAAAAAGTGAAGCAGCATTTATTTAAAAGGCACTAAAAATTATCTGCTACAAAGATTTTGAAGACAAGTATTTTTTTATTGTAAAGAAGCATATAACCACTCAAGTACTTCACAACACCAAGACTTCCACACATCCACCACCTGTGCCAGACTAGCTATCAAAGAAAAAAAAAACACAACAATGCATTTCTAGACAGTGGAACGAAACTCTCAACTCAGAAGTAAGAACTGAAAATACAGGTAGGAACTTCTTCTACAAGAAGACTATTCCTTCAGAAAAAGTAGTAGGCCACAGAGCTGACAGACATACAGGCCTGAACAAAATTCCATTTCTTCCTTTTGTCTTGCACTTCTACGTAAGCGAATAACAATTTGCCCAGAAAAGTGATTTAAGCAAAGCACACTCGTACTAAGAAATGTGCACCATGCTATAATGAGTATTAGACTTGCAGCATAAAGATTGGCAAGCTATGATTACTAAACACTGGTAAGACCAGTTTTTAAAATACAAATCTTAACAATAAGTGCTTAATATGGTGTGGATTTCTGGATGCTCTTAATGCTTTATGGGCAAAAGGTTAACAATAGTGATATAAATATTTATAAAACTTGCAAAGTATTACTCTATCCCAAAGCATAGGAAAAAAATAGAGGACATGCCATTCAAAAACTTACCTCCATGTTCTGCAAACTTTGGGTTTGAAAGGATCTGTTTACAGAACTTCAGCCCATTTCTATACTGCTTATGTTCGTAACACCTCTGTTGAAGAAAAGCAGAGTACATTTATGCAAAAAAATTGAGTAAGAGTATTTCTGCAGATCCAAAATTAAGCATCAGCACAGCTAGGGCTTTTAAAAAATGTACTTATATTTTAATGAACTGTGTTTAATGAGCTTCGTGTGACTAAAAATTATTTCCATCACCAGAAGAAACACATGTGACTGAAGACACATGATCATACAGCCATTTCTGGTAAGTTGCCAAACAATTCGTAAGTGCCTACCAAGACACAACTTCCTTTTAACATAAAAGCAAAACCTTACATCATAACTTAACTTGGTAAGCATTCAGCTCACTGAGGCTCAATCATCTTTCACAGAAACACCACAAGACAACCTCCAACAACCATACAGGCAGGAGAAAAAAATAAATTATTAGAATTTGGCCTAAACTATCTTTGAAAGCAAGCTCTTATGACAAATTATAATGCCACATGTATCTCATACATATATTACTTTAAAAACTGCTATATGGTAACATTATCTTGCCATAGTGGCATTAAAAACACTCTGCAGTTTTATTAAATCCAACTCTAACAATTTCCTTGAGTGTCATTATGCAAGGCAACTGCAATGCAAAATGGCACACAGCATGAACATTTAAAACCAGTCTTTTAAAACCAGTTTTAATATTTTACTTTTGTCAGTCCACCCCCTGTGGAGGAGAGGCAGACACAAAGGGCCTTCCCAACAAGCAGAGAGTTCTAAAAATAAAACTTTGAAAAGTTACATGAATGTAATGGAAATGCTTAAAAAACGAAAACGGCGTATCTATCCCAACTTCTCTGCTTTATGTTGCTTTTGCATCCTTTCCAAAGCACAGGTGGAAAAACAATAACAAACTTCAAGGGTAGAAAAAACCAGTATACCACTAAGTGGGTTAATTATTTTTCTAGGTACTAAAATCATACAGCTGAAATATTGAGGCTGAAGATCAAGAGGCATCACAAAACCAGGATCCTGCTTTCCCTATCCTGTCATCACCCTTTGGAGAAAGGGGATCATGGGAAAGGGAAGAGGAGGAAGAGGAAAAGGAATATGTTCAGATGTTCATCCAAAGAAAGACAGACTCAAAGAGGAATGTATCAACTAAAGAATAAGAGAATGGCTTAGAAGGGACTTTAAAATATCATCTACTACACTGCCTCTCCTGTGGGCAGGGACATCTTTCACTGTATCAGGTTGGTCAAAGCCCCATCCATTCTTGACTTTCAACACTTCCAAAAACCCCTCTGTCTATCACAGAGGACAGGAAAAGTGAGCAGGGCAACCACCTAGCAAAGGAAGATTAAGATTAAAGGAAAATTAAATCTGTATAGGTGTCTTATTTGTTATTTTTATTAACATCATTCAACTTCACTGGCTATTATATACACTTTTAGTCATCACCTGCTTTCAAGTAGCTGACTGAGTCACTTTAATCAGCTACTGGTGAGAGCTGACATGGAGCTTAGAGGCGACAACACAAAAGGATCAAGCTGATTTTATTTTATTTTTTTTTAACACTGCAATCATCAGTCATAAAAGTTACCACCCAGGTCTCCTCCCTAAAAGTAGAACCACCATTTACTCCCACCTAGGTAGGTGTGGAAGCAGAAAAACCTGTCACAAAAGTGGTGCAGCCACATGAACTTCAGAATGTGTCTCCGGTGTGACTAAGGCACTGTCACAAGCAGGAAGAGCTCTCTGGGATTTCGCAATTTGCCTTTAAGTCCAGCTGCTCAGACCCCGACTATGAACACTAAATCTTATCTCTAAAACAGTTCCATTTTACATACTCTAACAACCAGTCTTTCACCTTGAATCTTAAGGAAAGTCAGCCAAGATGGCTTATATGGTAGAGATAGGAAATAGTTGCACGCACATTTTCCTCGTGTAATAGAGAACTACAAAGCAAGGTATTTCATGGCAGAATAAACTCTCTGAGTTGTAACGAATTCCCTCTTTAGGCTGGCAGGGAGGAAAAATTTACAAGTCTACATCATCCACTTACGTCTATGGAAAGGTCCCCATCAGCCCAGAGAACACTCAGTAGGGTAAATCAATTATCAGGAACTGATCATGTATCACCTGCAGTACCAAATGAAGAACTAGCCATAGCTGCGTAAACCCCCCAGCAAAGTATCATAGGTCTCCATTTCACGTGTTTCTAGACCAAGACAAATTGAAGTGATTTCCTATATACAATTTCACCAACCTTTCAGGTTAATCCTTCAACTCTATTTCATTCTGTTATGGAAACATTTTAAACTGTGTTGTGCTATGAGTTACCTTTGCTTACCCAAGTATTCCCACCTGGAGTACTGTGCCTAATTCTGGAGTCCCCAACATAAGGAGGACATAGAACTCCTCGAGCGTGTCCAGAGGACAGCAACAAAGATGATCAGAGGGCAGGAGCACCTTCCCTATGAAGACAGGCTGAGGGAGTTGGAATTGTTCAGCCTACGGAAGAGTAGTCTCTGTGGTGACCTTATAGCAACTTTCCAGTATCTGAAGAGGGCCTGCAGGAAAGCTGGGGTAGGGCTTTTTACACAAGTGTGTAGTGAGAGGACAAGGGGCAATGGTCTGAAGCTTAAAGAAAGTCTGAAGCTTTAATGTCCAACTCAGGTTGGACATTATGAATTTTTTTTTTTTCCTGTGAGGGTGGTGAGATGCTGGAACACGTTGCCCAAGGAGGTTCTGGATAGCCCCTCCCTGGAAGTGTTCAAGGGCACAAGGTTGGGTGGGGCCTTGTGCAACCTGATCTAGTGGGAGGTGTCCCTGCCCATGCAGGGGGGTTGGAACTAGATGATCTTTTAAAGTCCCTTCCAACCCTAGCCATTCTATGATTCTATGTACACATTGTATGTTTTGAATAGCAGAAGGAAGGGACCAAATGAAATGGAGGTCATGTTTTGTCCTTCAAAAAAGGAGATTGTTTCATCACAGTGGGTCTAACAGCATCACTGAGATTCCACTACTCAAAGTCATGCATATAACTTATCTCCTTCTACACAGAGGTTATGGACTAACAAGCTTAAATAAAGGTGTGAGTAAGAGACAAAGAAGTCAGGAGTGAAGCATATGGCACCATGGCTGCTGCAAGTTGGTGAATCTGTGACTTCAAGGAAACATACAAGAAAAATATTTTAAGAAAAAGGACACAATAAAT